TTGCTGCTGCTGCTGCTGCTGCTGCTGCGGGGACCCCGGGAGTTGACGACGATGCCGGAGGAAGAGAGGACGACGCGCTATCATGCAGACGGGAGAGCGAAACCAACTTGTTTGGCAGCGAGATCAGCGAGGGGGGCGTCAGCTGGGGCGGGGGTGGGGGAGGGGGGGACGAGATGGGCCCAGGAGATGACGATGACGAGAGTGAGACTGGGACTGGAATCGACTCGGAGGAGGGTTCCACCGACGCCGCCAAGAGCAACGAGGCTAGTATCGCGGAGACTACCGCGAACGACTTTTTTGCGGTGAGGAATCACTATTATGTTTGCCATTTCCAAATGTTGCTAGGTACGGTGAGTCTTCATTAGAGGCTCGCGGCAATCCAACCCAGCAGGTTTTTGAAAAACATGCGTACAAGCACAGAAAGACTACCCGCATTCTGGCAATGTTGGACGGGGAAAAGGTGAAGAAAAGGTTGTTCCGAGGCAGCCCCGTGTTTTGCTTTTACATGTATGTTGATTATGGACGAAAGGATTCCTGAACAGGTTGACGTGATTTCCCTGCTCATGCTTTGGACAGTGACGTTCTCATTTGAAGAGGGGATGTACTTGCTAGGCTTGTGTCGAGAAGCAGGGGATGTCGAGCTGCCCCCGATGCGGAATAACAATGTGTCGCCCCGGGACAAAAATGTGTCGTTTCGGAACAAATACATGATGACGCTTTGGGAGAATGATGTATCGCCCCGGGACAAGTATGTGTTGCTTCGGCACAATTCCTTGTCATCTCGAGGCAACGATGTGTCGTTTCGGGACAACGAAGTGCCGCTTCGGGAGAGCAATGTGTCGCCTCGGGACAATGTGTTCGTTTCGGGACACATAAGTGACGTTTCGGGATAATGATGTATCGCCTCGGGACAACCACGTGCCTCTTCGGGATGATAATATGGTTATGTACCCTTTCGAGGCTACATACGGGAAAAGTAGGTATCGTCTCGGGGTAAACTAGTGTTGGTTCGGGGATGTGTTTGGTTGACGTGAATTCGAGCGGGGGGTGAAGATGTTCGTGGACGGCCGTTTTTCGCTGACTTTTTGTTTTCGTTGGTGATGGATCCCTCCCGACAATGCGGTTCGCGTAAACTTTGTTTCACGTGTATTGTATCAACTGTCGAAATCGGCGAGAAATAGGTGGGGATCAGGGTGCGGTGGGAGCTCTGGCGGATGGACTTACCTATCAGCGTTCTCTTAAAAACCACACGGACGTACACTACAGATTGTGCACCAGATGTATCTAACCAAATCTCCTCTTCCCCGCTTGTGCGCCATGTTACATACTTGCACACTTTCTTCTCTCGCGCTCTTCGCCCACGGTTCAGGCCCCCAAATCGCCGGAATCGGAGCCCGGAAGCCCGAGGCCCACGTCTCTAAGGGACGGCCGGGCCTCCGTGGGCAGCGTCAGCCCTCTCTCCGGGTACAACAGCAGCACGGGCAGCCGGCGTGGCCGCCGCGAGACATTCGGCGGCAGCGGCAGCGGCGGCGGCCGTGGCAGCGGCCGCGCCCTCTCCTCCTCCTCCTCCCCGTACAACCTGGCGGACATCCCGTCCATCTTCCCCCTCCCGGAAGCCGTCTCCCGGGCGAGGCGGTCTACCGGGGGGCTGCCGCCACCCGTGCCGGGGACGCACGCCTACGGCACTCCGTCCGCGGCGGTGGCAGCGGCGGCGGCGGCCGCCGCGACCGCGGAGCGGCCGCCATGCCCCACCTGGCGCAGCCTTAGCCCCTCCCGCCCCGGGGACGACCGGGGGTGGAGCCTGAGCCCGGTGCTGGCGGCGAGGGCGGGGACCCACAGGAGCATCAGCCCGACGCGCGGCGGCGGCGGCGGGGGCACGGGCGTGGCGTACGTGTCGCCGTCCGCGCGGGCTCGCGGCGGTAGCGTCGGCGCGGACTGGGTGCGGGGGGCGAGCAGCGCTGACGGTTCTCAGGCGTCGTTG